CCGATTTACCGACCCTAAAGGTTACACGAGAGATCCGACCGATTAGCGACTGACTCGCCGTTTTACGATTACAACGTTCAATATCTAATTCCTTTGGTGAGTATTCGTTAGGGTTTCCATTAAATGAAAATTTTACTCTCAAACAAAACTCTTGAACCAAATATCGCATTTGTTCATAGAAATTTTCTTTTAGTTTTTTCATTGCTGCAAATCCTAGTTTTCGACCAAGAAACTTAAGGAATTCACGGTCAACATAAGAACTACCACATAGATCACCACTGCGTTCAGTAATTTCACTAAATTTCATGCCGGGTAATAAAGTTCTGGTTGTAACATCTACAGTTTCTTCTCCGCAATCAACAATCAAGAATGATGCTAATATAAAAAAAAGTAGAAGTGTTTGCTATTATCGCACTATATTTGTTAATAGATGAAATAAATAATAAATATATATTTACACTCAACTGATAAATGATGCTCATTTAAAGTTTTCATGCAATAAATTGTGGTAGCCACGGCTGAAAATAAAATAGTCATATATATATGTAATAAATGTAAATATATGTCAGTCAATTTATAAATTCGATAAATTTTATTTACATACGGTTAGTTATAAACTCTAAATTTTCGATTGCCTATGCTCCAGGTAGCCAGCATTGTACATACACTCTTTCATAATGGCTTTTGCTTCATAATCCCTTTGTTATATGTCGAAAAAATACTTTATATACTGATACATCAACCCAATTAATTATTGAATGAATTGCTAACCATTCAGCAGGTACAGGTAGTACAAACCGAACTTGTTGAGGATATCGTATGCCTAAATATTTTAAAAATATAAATTAAACAAATTTAAGTTTCTCATTTTAGATATTAATATATATTATATTACCTGGCCATCGACTCTTTAATGTTTCTAAAATGATTATCACAAAATTAGTTGAAGTCAATTATGTAGAATAAGTTAATAACTTTTTACTTTATTCATTTCATGTAAATAATCGGTAATGACTCTTTTTGCATCTAAGCCTGGTGGAAGGGGTGGCTTATCTTCCTCTTTTAGGTTGGAAAGGTGTAACATGAATAATTCTACTGGTTTAGGCTGCGGTCTAGCCAATGCTTTTTTTTTCTTTGGAGGTGTTTGGGCTAGGGCTGGGTATCCCCAGGCTACAAGTTGCAATTTGTCGTCATATGCTAATACAGTATTAGTTTTAAATACGCCTGCCTGTTCTGGCCTAATATTAAAATCATCGAAGATTAACCATAATTTTTAAACTATATCTTTTCTGATGAAAATACTAAATCGTGTTTATATCTTACCACTATAAAAATAATGATAAATTCATGTTAAAAATATATTTTGTCTTAAAATCATAATTGAATAACCCGTTCAACAATGCTGAACATTTATCAAATTTGTTGGATTCGCTTATCCAATATTAGATTTATGGGTCCAAAACTAATTTAATGACCAATACTATCTAGTATATACTGTCAATTTTTAAACTTACTGTATCATTTGTAATAGTTTCTGGATTAATTTTGTTCGAATATGCAAATCCTATATTGTTCCGACAAATAATTATTCATCATAATAAACAACCAATTGGAATTTCATTTTACTATATTTCTTTTGCTGACCTGAGTAAGTAGTTCCAATTTCTAACGAACAAATATAAACATATTGTTAATGCAACTGCCTCAATAATCTAAGACACCTAAGAATGCCATACATACCAAGGGCTACAACAACTTTAATATCAGGTCTTCTTATGTCTTTATGTACAACATGATTTTGTATAGTTGTATTATCAAGTTGATAAATTAAAGTCAAGTTTAATAATAAAATATTATAAAACTAACTTATCGATCTTGTACTGTGTTCTTGTTCATTCCCAGAAGTGAATTCATTACCATCTTCAGTAGGTTGTTGTATCCAACTTTCTGGTGGCGGCCTATGTTTCGTAAAAGAACTCACAGTAGATTGTACAGAAGTTCCAGTTTCAGTATAATTGCTGTTACCAACACTACTCAAAATCATATCTTTTCCACTTGAAATCATATATCGTTCATTCGAAATATCTTGCATATTTGAAACAATATCTCGTTCTTGTTCTTGTTCATTCAGAACTATATTTTCATCATAATAAATTGGATTTATTTTTATATTATTTAACTTATGACGAATCTCAGCTATGCTAGGACGTAAATTTGGATCACCATTCCAAGCATTAGTATAAAGATTCAAAAAATCAATTGGAGTTCCATTAAATGGAGCTTCTCTTTTACCAGAAATTACAATAAGTGATATCTGTGTTGTGTCAGCTATATCTTTAAAGGGAGGAACACCGCTTGATAATTCCCAGAAAAGCACACCGAGACTATAAATATCTGACGGTTTATCACGTTTAAATAAAAATGGACTTTCAAAATACTTCGGATCAGAAAAAGCACATGTTCCACCAACAATAGACTTTGTACTATTTTCTAGCGATTTAGACAAGCCAAAATCTGCGATCATCAGCCTATCGTCATGCACTAAAATATTCCTATCATGCTGTAATAATATTAATATTTATACTATTAAAATAAAAAAGAGTAATTAAAATATAAATTATTTTACAAGGTCACGGTGAACAATGTCTGCATTTTGTAGGCAATTAATCCCACTAGAGATTTCTTTCGCCATCCTAATTTTAGTTGTCCAATCTAATTCCGAAAAACGATTTCTTAAATAGCAACGAAGGTCACTGTTATTTGCATATTGAAGAACCATATAATATTTTTCGCTTTTTGGGTCTAATTTATATAAACTAATTATAATTAATAACAATTAGTTAGCAAATAAATTTCGTAAGATTAAATTAACATACCTTGAGTTACCCCAAAGAACCGTATTATATTATCATGATGAGCAAATCTAATAACATCATACAAAAATGTAAATAACAATAAGATAGATTTAATATATTATAAAATAATCAATACTTCTTTAATAAATTCATTCACATTAACACTAGAGGAATCGTGATGAATTGTTTTTAAAGCTACAATTTTTTCAGCATCTTCTGAAAATGCTCTATATATGGTGCCAAATCCACCTCTACCAATCTCTTTCCAGTCTTGAAAAGAATCATACTTGAATAAAATAATATATTTTTTTTCAACAGCAACTTCAATTCAGTTTGACATTTATTAATTCTAAAACCTAATTATTCTCGCTCGGATCATTTATTACGATGAAAAGACATTACGGGATAGTGCATTTGTCGCAATGCTACATGTCAATAGTACTATCTAAACTTAGCTAAAACAATAATTAAACTACTCTAATTTGTCAAATCTCACACTTCCTAAACACTATTCTTATTGACATCATCATACTCTGAACTAACCGTCAATTATGGCTTGTTCTTATGGTCGTCCATTTAGTCACGAGTCGAAAATCGAAGGTGATGGTTTTGAAGGTCTGATTCGTGCAATGGCATTCTAATGCATGTCACTGAGCGAAATACCCAAGTCAGTAAGCATGGTTAAAAGCTGGTAGCGTAGTTGGTTTTCATTTACATCCTATTTGCCTCTCTCTTTTTTTTTTTTTTTTTTTTTTTTTTTGACTAGTAATTATCATGAAACACGTCACTGAGCAACCAGTTGTAAGTTAGCAAGCATGTTCCAAAAAACCCCTTCAATATTTGCATAGCCATAACTATGTGTTCTGTTCTCTTTCTTTCTTTTTTTTTTTTTTTGCCAATTCTGTAAGTTGGTGAGCCTTTCTTACAATAGTCAATTACCTAATTCAACAGTTATATTTAGAGTCACAATCCTCATAATATAGAGAAAAGGAAAATAGTTTTGGTTGTTTTTTTTTTTTTTGGACAGTGGGGGTGGAAAAAAGTCAGACCAAAGTCAGGTAGCAAAGAAAAAAGCACTAAAAGATCTACAATTACATTTTTAACCCTAAGCTATACCTTTTTGTGTCAAATACATCATAATATCAGCATAGATTTGAAATGGAACAATAAGTGATGATCCTTGTAATAATAACTTTAGCATGATTATTGTTATGCATCAGGTCATTATTCTTGTTCAGATTATTTATTACAATGAAAAGACATTATGGGATAATTTAAAGGATCGTGTCAGGTTTTTTTTTCAAAATCCTATTTTGCTGTAGTGTTCTGGATTACTGTTGAAAAAGACCTAAGGTACAATGACACTAATTGGGACAGCCAACCCCTAATATTCATTATCTGAGGTAATGATAACCCTGCTTTTATTACATTTGTGACTTCACCAATGCAGATACTGTATTCAGAATATTTACTCTCATATTCTGCATGTTAAACTATTCTTTTTACTATTGCATTTACTGCTCCTGTTGTCATTTGTTTGCCTGATGCATTCAGAAATAAATTGTCTTGATTTTTCTATTTCTTCCTAATATCCAAATAGTTATAAACTAAACATACAAAGCAATAGGAAGAATTTGTTAGGTCAACCAGAATGAATTTACCTTTTACAAATTGATCTGTCTTGGATTTGTTTATTCTAATCCAATAAATTCCTTTTATTACTTTTATGTTATTCACATATAAGTTACAAAGTTTAGCTGGCCGATGCATTGTGTGAAGGCTTAATGCAATCATAGCACAGTCACATTTTCAGATAATGCCAGATATGTTTTGCAGAGAGTTATCTATATAGTTTCACAAAACTTCCACAGGAAAGGGGTTATGAGGCCAAACTGCCTCCTTATCAATTGCATAGAGCTTTCTTATGTTTTTTATAAAATGTTGAATATTGTAATCTATTGTGGGATCTTCTAATCATTATTCTGATGATAAAGACTAATTGCTACTATATAAGAATATAAGTTTATTAATAGAAATGACATATTTGTCCAGGTTAAAAACAATGCAACTGTGTCTAGATAAACCAGACTTACTCTTAAATTATGAACATTGTAAAATCCCTTGAACTCTCTTCATAAACTCACAAGGTGTTTATCATACTTTGATTTTGAAATTAGTATTCTTTGAGTCTTTTTGTCAAAACATTTAAAAATAAACTTTTATTGTCTGAAATTTTTAGAAAGGATTCTTCTATGGTTCTGATATTTAGTTCTCACTTGGTACAGATAAAAAACATTCTATTGCAGAGATTAGATCTATTACCTCTCTTTTTCTTATTCTGAGAAAAAGTGACCACCAAGGGGCTGACATCTACATTAGAACAATAATAGTTATTTGTACTTATGTTTCTATTTCTTGTTCAAATACTCTGTAAACTAAACTTAGTGGAAGATATACATAATTGTTGTGTAAAACAATCAATAGCATTTGCTTCCAGATAAAAAAAGTGACTGTTAAAATAAATTACTTTTCTTGTATAAATACTGGCCATTTAGTCTATTATAAATAGTTCCTATTTTCTTTCTATAAATTAATATAGGCTTTGATTCATCATCTATTCAGAGTTGTCAAAGACTCATATTAGTTTGTCAACTGGGTTTAGCTCTGAGAAATCCACTGGAATTTGTAAATAAATACATTATGTTTGTCACAAAGATTCCAAATTTCTCGCATTAATTTTTTTTACATGATCATTTTCTATCTGATTCTATTGATTTTCGACCTATATGATTGTCTATGAATACTATTATCTATTGACTTAAGATTATTAGTTTAAATGTCTTTATATTCAACAGAGCTGTCATTGACTTGAGAAAAGCAATATCAGTATACTTGTGCTTTTGTTTCCAATTTCTAAAAACTCTTTTTTCTTTCACAATTGCTGACCATCCTATTGTTGATGTATCAATATATAATAGTATTATCTTGGATAACACCAAGCTGGGCTTTTATTTTTCTTTTTCAGATTTTTCAAAACCCAATTTATATCATAAAGTGCTTGTAGTGTTAATTGAATTGAAGCCTTCCATTTCCAAGATTTTCTGTTTTCCATATCGATAATTGAATAAAATTCTAGACAACAAGTTTTTGTATAAGAAAAAGTGCAGCTTAAACTCATTAGTTTCTTCATTGCTGAAGCAAGCAGTCAGGCTGTTAGTGACAATACTGTCAGAAGGCTTCGAAGTAAATATAATGTATCTCTTATTTTTTTGTTGGGTACTATCACTTCTCTGATTACTGTATTTAAAATCATTCTATAAAATTTTGTTTTTTGTGTTAGTTCTGAATACCCTTTTTTAGCTAGAACAAATCTACTTTCTCTTAAATCTTTAAAAATTAACTAATCCCTGATTTGCATTAAGGTTTTTTGACAATAATAAGTATTTATATATTATTCATATGATTTTCACAAATTATTTCAGATACTCTTCAGTGTTCAATTAATACTCACATTATTTTTAAAAATATCCAAACTGCTTGGCTCAGACCAAAAGGTAAAACCTAAAAATTGTATCAACTTTGTCTTATCTGAAAACTTAACAATCATTATATCTTGCTGTCCATTTGTATATAGTGATATCCCTTTTTCAAATTCAATACTATTATCTACCAATTTCAGCCCACAATGCACAAAAATACATTGAGTCCTTCAAATTTGAATGGTTTTATTGGTAATGTTTGATTTAGACATTTGAAATTGACTACCAATTACCACTGCTTGGGTTCCAGTTTTGGAACCAGAAATATTAAGCTTGTTTTGAATAGATATGAAGAATGAGTTAAAGAGTCTGCAATATGTACAATTGGATTTGATTCTGAAAGCTTTTTTATTTCTAAATCTAACCATTTTTTTTGTTTCTGTGTTAGTAAATATTTTGGTAGATTTGGTTGTTTTGTTAAAATTAATAGTTCTTTTGGATATAGAGAAACTCTGTTCCTTAACCAATTTAGAATTAAACCAGAAGCCTGTAACTTGTTTTCTCAATAGTTTACATGCTTCTTTATATGTAAACATCCTATTATAATTATTTTTTGTTAGACCTGACTATAGTCAATTATGTTTACTTTCATCTTGGAATTTACCAAATCTGTTTCTATATAAATTGTATCTTTTTGATCTGTAAATAAAGTTAGTTTTTTGTTCATATCTAGTATCATAATGCAGATCAGAGAGGCAGGAGTTTGCAAAATGCCCATATCCTTCACAGATTTAATATTTGTTTGAAGGATTTTGAAACTGATTGTAGGACTGAGAATTCATTCAAAAAAACTTGTTCATGTATTGGTAATTTTGATAACAATTTTGAGTTTTTATTTGGTAGTTGGGTTTATAAAATAAAGATTCCTAATTTTCAACCCAACTAGTAGTTTTTTGGTACTTATTCTTTTTTATTTCAGCTAGAACATTTGTCTTTTCAATTAATATACCTTTTCTTTTAAGCTAATTGTTCTGTGTATTTGGTAATGCTGCTGCAACTTCCTAACCATAACCTTCTGCTATACACAGAATAAACATTTAGTTTGCTGCTACCTTCCAGGCTTTCTTAATATGAGATATAATCTTAAAAAAACTTTTAGATTCTTTTACTAAATCAAGTTCTGTTCCAATTGTATGTAATGAATCATATTCATGTTAATCTTGTGATTTCTCAAATTTACAAGCTGACTATACTTCATTTATTTCAACTCTATAATGTGTATCTTGAACTTGTATAGTTACTGAATTTAATCTATCATTGAAATTTGTCATCACATTTTCCAACTTTCTAAATTCAGATAATATCAAATTTCTTAATAGGTTATCGAAATCCATTTCCTGATAATGTTGTTTGTTTCAGTTAGTACATTCTTCAGTATTTGCAAAAGGATTATCTGGATCTGCAATCTCATTTGACAAAAATGATTGCTTAAATTTCCTTTTTGTTTAGTAAGTTAGTTCCTATAAAGATTGTGCTACTTAATCAATATCAGATTGTTCACCTCAATCACATGATCTCCTTGATCATCAACATCATAATTTTCCAGGCTTGTTTCACCAGTTTCTTCAATACTATTTGAGCTTTGGCCTACTTCACTTGAAAGTTGTTTTAACCTTTGTACTAGGTCTGCTTTTACACCATCTGTAGACACACCAAGTGCACAGCAAAGTTCTTCCAAATCTCCTTTAGATAAGTCCGACTCTAACATATTTTCTGTTTCACTTCCATTTTTTTTTTTTTTTTTTTTTTTTTTAAGGGAAGAAAAATCTAATAATAAAGCACTATAGACACGTATGCGAAAAAAGCCAGACCAAAGTCGGGCAGCGAAGAAAAAAGCACTAAAAGATCTATAATTACATTTTTAGCCCTAATTTATACCTTTTTGTTTCAAATACATCATAATATCATCATAGATTCGAAATGGAACAATGGGTGACGATCCTCGCGATAATAACCTTAGCACGACTATTGTTGTGCGTCAGGTCACTCTAATCGAAATATATATACATGAGAATCATCCAAATCCGACTAACGTTAATTAAAATACAGTAGTTCACATATCGATATGTACAGGAAAGTTGTGTAACTAATGTACTGTACATGCGTTGTGAAAGGGTAAGCCGTGGCTTGAAATTTTTTTTTTCTAGATTGATGCATATTTGATTTAGCGAATTTGGTGGATTTGGCGCATTTATTGAACATTTTACGCATTTTGTACATTTTGTACACAGTGAACATAGTTAATAAACTCCAGAACTCATACAGGAAGTCATAGGCAGAAGTTTCTCAGATTGGCTATTAAATTCAATTTAATTTTACATTATTTATACAGTTTAGAGTACTTTTTTTTAAAAAAAAAACGAAAACTAATCATAATGAAATAAAAAAAGCTGTATAGAAGGTTTCATTAGAGCTGTATGTCTCCATAGTCAAAAATAAGATCTAATTCTCGTCCGTTTAAAAAAATTAGCTTAGTAATATGTTGATTTTATAGGGGTTTGAGAAGTAATTACTATACTAACTCTTTTAAACGGCCGAGAATTAGATCTTATTTTTGGCTATGGAGTCCTACAGCTCTAATGAAACTTTCTATATAGATATTTTTTTTACTTCATCATGATTAGTTTTCGTTTTTTTTTAAAAAAAAAAACTCTAAACGTATAAATAATGTAAAATTAAATTGAATTTATTAGCCAATCAGACAAACTTCTGCCTATGACCCCGCATCAGGTGAGATTCTGGTTGATTAATACAATATTCGAAATAAAATATCCAGTACCCAGCCCGGAGAACTTAAATGGGAGGAGGCCTTACAAATATAGAAGGCTCTAAATGTCGGGAAAGGCCGGTGGAGAAACTAAAAGACTGTCGCCATGTGGCGTCCTGAGGCGATTATGCCAATAGGGTCATTTTCCTAGCAAAGATCCCATATCTTAAAAATATTTAATACCTGCAATGGGGTCTTTAGGAATATAAATAATTGGGATTTGAAGCGCAAAATATCGTTGAATTTGAGTTTGTAAGTAAAAGATTTCGCTAAATCCACCCACTAAAAACATGGCTACGCATCTACTTTCTGTGACGCATAGTGCCTTTGAATCAAATCAATAATCTTTTTAACAACAGGATCAAACATATCTTTCACAGTTTGAAATTCTGGAAAGGACCAATGTCCATGCATAAAATAACTAAGACTATAATCTTGACAAAATGTTCTTACAAATATTTATATTATTTTCAATACTGATGCGAGTATAGAGCAATATTAGAGATAAGTCGATGTTTAAACGCTAGGCTTACCTATTGTCAAGCCCGAATAATTGGTCTTCGACAAAAACTCTTTATTCAATTACCACGTTGAGAAGTAAATATCTTAAATCAAGTAAAATCTGATAGACACTTTTATCAAGTAAGCATTCATATTTTTTGAAATGATAACTTTAATCCATAGGATAAATGTAAAAATATCTAGAACAAGTATTTGCAGATCTAAAAATATTCAAGCTTTTCTTTGACTTCTAAATATGGAAAACTCTCCATCGTACCATACTTGCTGACAGCTAATCCAGCTGCCACAATTGCTTCTTTCAATGAATGTAAAAATTGCTCAGCCGTTGGTAAAATAAATGTTTCAGCATTGACTGATATATTTTGTTCATTTTTCAATTGATTTCTAGCAAATGCATCACCAGCTCCGGCGATATCACACAAAAGTTGATTTAAATGCAGGTAAGGTATAGAAACGTTTTTCTGGACCAAACCAGGCTACTAATCCATCGCTTCCAAGAGTAATGATAATTCCAATTAATTGTGGAAATTCATTTGAAAGTGCATTCAGTAATTCTGTTGATACAGTTCAATAGTGACACTAATAGCAAAAATTTGTCGATATAATTGAGTTGCCTCTAGTTGGTTGACAATTAAATAATCTACTAAATCAAATGAAAATATTTTTGTTATACCTTATGAGATTGGTGATGCATTTAAAACAGCCGCCAAAATTGTTTGAATTAATTCCAAAATCTACTATATATCGATATATCAGTAAATAAGTAAAAAGGCTTACCAAGATTTTTGCAAAGCTTCAATATCTTACCGTCAATAAGTCCTATTTCATTTTGAAAAACTGGTCAATCATCCTTATGCTAAAACTTCTTGTGCTTCTATTTCGCTCAGCAAATGATTCGTTCCTGGAAGCAGAATTATAGCATTATTTCGTGTGTCTTGGGAAATTTGAATGATCCATATGAAAATAATCATAATTTGCATATAAAACAAGAATAAACAATGTACCTGTTCTTTAGATATAATTATATTATCCACGTTCACTAATTGACTTTCCATATATACTTTAATCCAAATTCCGCCATGGCCAATTTTTCTAACATGCCATACCTTGCACCTGTCTGTGTGGTAAAGGAATGCACGTTTCATGATTTTTTGTCGATTGCAAGATAATGACATTGAAAAATAAAGGGTATAAGAACTTTTGCTATGGCTACTGATTGATTAGCACCTAACGGTATAATTATAAAAAAAATTGCATTGAATGAGTGTCGAAACGAATATATGGCCGTGTCCACCAGCTTTTTGGGTATACTTGGCACTTTTATAGTCTCACCACTAAAGACAATGTGCGGAACATCGAAAATTCATCCTAATAAAAATTAAAGTTATGCTTGTAATCGAAATTGCTGGCTGAAGTGCTCTAAGAAATGGTAATAACAATATTAATCGATCAAAATACTAATATTTTAGGTTCAAACATTGTTTGAACTCATGTAATTAAATATAAAATTTTCTGGTTACACGGATCAAAAAAATTTTTTTTATTCGCTTCAGACAAGCGTGAAAAAAGATGGTAACAATGAAAAAAAAGAAACAACGATATGTACTGTACACATAAATAATGAATCTCAGATACATAAATTGCCAACAGGAATACAGCAATGATCTAAAAACTAACACGTATGTAAGGGTATTATTATCTCCTCCCTCAATTAATGATTATATATCATCAACGATATGACTTTGAGATGGATATTATTAAAATGTTTAGTAAATAGAAAATATAAAATTTTGTCAGCTAAAATTTAGCGCTAGTCATCATCTCAACCGGCGCTTTCATGATCTTCTAGTATCACAGAAACAGTATTGTTATTATTAGGTATCTTTATATAGGCTAAAAAAAAACAATTGAGCAAAAAAAAACGTAAGGAATACCAATCATTATATTTATTATTATTTACTTTAAAATTGAAATTTGAATTCTCTCATGTGAAAGGACGTTATAAGAGCTCTTTAGCTGTTAATCTGTCTGCGTACACGCTCTTTCGCTTCTCTAACAACAACACGAATAGACTTTACACGCGAAACTGTTACCCTACTTTTTTCAGTAATAGCGGATGCTGGTCTGGCGTTGTTCGTGGCAATGGTTCATCACTGGGCGATGAATTCTGAGCAGATCCATGAACAGAGATACCTATAATTTCCCATTTAGTATTTACTGTATTATAATTAAGATTTAATCTAGCGATATATGTTTATATTATAAAAGAAAGAATTATAATAAAGTTCTATTTTTTTTTTTTATCGAATAAAAGTTATTACCGGTACATTAAAAAGAATAACAACCCATATAACGATTATATATAACTATGTACTTCAAACATAAATATCGATCGATAGTTTCGTGTTTATCGCATCAATTTATCAATAATGGTCATAATTTCCAAGTCGTTTACAATAAACTGAAAATGAATAAATAAGCCTTACTTATAGAAAAATAATATCGTAAAAGATCGTATACAAGACCCCTTTGATTATAGATATATCATGATATCCACATACTGATTTCTATTAATTAAATACGGATTTTTTCAATAATCATTATAAATGCAAAACGTATATGTACTTTAAAATTTTTTCTGTCACAATATAAACGTTGGGCTATGTATTATACCCATACTATTATAGGTTTAAAATCATTGGAATGTTACTCCAATAGAAAAGTAGTGCCTCCATAGATCTGTCGAGTCTTTTTATTAATTGCCGTAGCCTTAATCTCCATAGTACCGAATGTCAGAATTAATTCCACTTCCACTACTCGTTTTTTCAAAGTAAAGCTAAAACCCTTTGATTTTTTTTTGTTCTGATAAATCAATTTTCAATTTTCCCAGCCAATTCATTCCATCCTCGTCATAATACCTCGCGTAATTATCCGGCGTAATGAATAGATTAAAAGTCACATCGGTCTGATTCTGATCTGCTGTGTATGTATAGTAGATTTTTTGATCGACAGCAACTTCAGTACCTTTCAATGCCAATCGATGAAATCGGAATACACATCCTGAAGGTGTACGACGTTCTGGTGGATCATGCTTTTCCCATTTTGCAGTTACCTCTACCCCGTAACAGTATTTTAAAACAATTAAATTTAGACCATATTCTAAAGCACCTCGTTCAATAGCTTGAAAAATAAGATTGTTTCTTAGAAATTCAATTATAAGAGTAAGAAAAAATATGAAAAAATTAATTATCCTGAAAATATTTAATACCTGCTATGGGATGTTTAGGAACAGCAATAATTGGAATTTTTGTCGCAAAATGTCGTCGAATTTGAGTTTGCAAGTAAAGATTTTCGCTAAGTCCACCCACTAAAAACATGGCTGCGCATTTAAGTTCTGTCGACGCACATTGCCTTTGAATTAAATCGATAATCTTTTTAACAACAGGATCAAACATATCTTTCACCGTTTGAAAGTCTAAATCGATTATCCAATCAGCCTCTTCTATTTGGTCTCTGGCCTGACCGGTAACATACTGCATCAATGCTGGGCATATACGTTCAATATCTAATTCCTTTGGTGAGTATTCGTTAGAATTTCCATTAAATGAAAATTTTACTCTCAAACAAAACTCTTGAACCAAATATCGCATTTGTTCATAGTAATTTTCTTTTAGTTTTTTCATTGCTGCAAACCCTAGTTTTCGACCAAGGAATTTAAGGAATTCACGGTCAACATAAGAACCACCACATAGATCACCACTACGTGCAGTAATTTCTCCACTTTTCATGCCGGGTAATAAAGTCATAGTTGTAAGATTCACAGTTCCGCCTCCGCAATCAACTATTAAAAATGACGCTAATATGAAAAAAAAGGTGTTGTATCATTGTTGCTCGATATTTATTAATAAATAAAGTAAATAATAAATATATATTTACACCCAACTGATAAATGATGCACGTTTAAATTTTTCAAGCAATAAATTGCGGCAGCTTCGGCTGAAATAAAATAGTGAAATACGTATGATATTATGTACATGTATACAAATCAAATGTAACTTTTGTTTACTTACGTTGAGTTATAAACACTATATTTTCAGATTGCATATGTTCCAAGCAACCAGCATTGTACATACACTCTCTCATAATTGCTTTCGTTTCATAGATCCTTTATTATACGTTAATAAAAAAGCTTTAGATACCAATACATCGGCTAAATCAATTATGAATATTGCTAACCATTCAGCAGGTATAGGCAGTACAAAACGAACTTGTTGAGGATATCGTATGCCTATATATTTTAAAACCATATAAATTGATAAATTTAAAATTCTCTTATTTAAATATTAATATATATTATATTACCTGGCCATCGACTATTTAACGTTTCTAAAATGAGCTAAACAGTGAAAATTATTATCACAGAATTACTTGAAGTCAATTATACAGTCTATGTAGAATAAGTTAATAATTTCCTTACTTTATTCATTTCATGTAAGTAATCGGTAATGACTCTTTTTACATCTAAGCCTGGTGGAAGTGGTGGTTTATCTTCCTCCTTTATATTGAAGAGGTGAAACGTGAATAATTCTACTGGTTTAGGCTGAGGACTGGTCAATGCTTTTTTTTTCTTTGGAGATTTTTGGATGAGGGCTGGGTAACCCCAGGCTACAAGCTGCAAGTTCTCGTCATATGCTAATACAGTATTAGTTTTAAATACGCCTGCCTGTTCTGGCCTAATATTAAAATCATCGAAGATTACCCATAATTTTTAAACTATATCTTTTCTGATGAAAATTCTAATCGCGTTTATATCTTACCACTATAAAAATAATGATATAATTTATGTTAATGTATTTTGTCTAGAAAATCTTAATTAAATAATCCGTTTGACAATGCTGAACATTTAACCAAATTGATTGGATATGAATCTAAAACGAATACATTCTACCTATATTTATAGGTTCAAAAATAATTTGATGTCCAGTACTACCTAGTATATACTAAACTTACTGCATCATTTGTGATAATTTCTAGATTAATCTTGTCCGCATATGCAAATCCTATATTGTTACAAAAAATAATTAATAATAATAATAATCAACTAATTGGAATTTCATTTTGCTATATTCATTTGCTGACCTGAGTGAGTAGTTCCAATTTCTAATAAACAAATATAACATATTATCAGTACAACTGCCTCAATAATCTAAGACACATAGTAATGTCATACATACCAAGGGCTACAACAATTTTAATATCAGGTCTTCTTATGTCTAAGTACAATATGATTTGATATAATAGTATTATCAAGCTGATAAATTAAAGTCAAGTTTAATAATAAAATATTACAATACTAACTTATCGATTTTGTACCATGTTTTTGTTCATTCCCAGAAGTAAATTCATTACCATCTTCAGTAGGTTGTTGTATCAAATTTTCTGGTTGCAGCCTATGTTTCATAAAACTCACAGTAGATTGTGCAGAGGTACCAGTTCCAGTATAATTGCTGTTACCAACATTACTCAAAATCATATCTTTTCCACTTGAAATCATATATTGTTCATTCGAAATATCTTGCACATTTGGAACAATAGCTTGTTCTAGTTCTTGTTCACTCGGAAATATATTTTGATCATAATAAATTGGATTCATTTTTATATTATTTAATTTATGACGAATCTCAGCTATGCTAGGACGTAAATTTGGATCACCATTCTAAGCATTAGTATAAATATTTAAAAAATCAATTGGAGTTTCATTAAATGGAGCTTCTCTTTCACCAGAAATTACAATAAGTGATATTTGTGTTGTGTCAGCTATATCTTTAAAGGGAGGAACACCACTTGATAACTCGCAGAAAAGTACACCGAGACTATAAATATCTGACGGTTTATCACGTTTAAATAAATATGGATTTTCGAGATACTTAGGATCAGAAAAAGTACATGTTCCACCATTATTATTGCTCAATCAGATGACTTTATTTAGATATAAACTGAAGAACATATGGGAAATACGGTTCGCTACCCTTCGAAGGCTCTATCTAATATATAAATATACAACTTCGAAACCCATAGGAAACCATACTCAAAACAGCAAAACAGGACAAACACAACAAATGCCACCTGTAGAGGGAAATCAACCGAAGCAACTCCTATAGCTGTAAAGAGAATCGGTTATACTGTCCTTTGCCAATGCGAGGAGGGTTTACTCTTATCGTGGTCCTTGTACTGCCACCTGCAGCCACGGAACCAGATTACAAAACAAAAACAGGTCCTTGCACTGCTACTGCAGCCGCGGAGCCAAATCACAAACAACAGGTCCTTGCACTGCTATTGCAGCCGCGGAGCGAATCACAAAAACAGGTCCTTGCACTGCTACTGCAGCCGCGGAGCCAAATCACAAACAACAGGTCCTTGCACTGCTATTGCAGCCGCAGAGCCCAACATAACAATAGGCCCCTGCACTGCTACTGCAACCACAGAGCCTAAACTATATCCAGTTTTACTTCGTTACAGGAACCCATGACACACAACGAACGTTGCTCGTCCGAATTCGGGCGGGTAAGGGAGGGCGATAGAGCCAGCCTTTACAAGGCGAGCAATAGCGAAGAGAAAGATACCCTCTTCTACCAAGACAAGAAGACTTAAATATCCTATACCACCCAAGAATATTCTCACCCTCCTGCATTACCGATTCCCAACTTGAGACTAACCATTATCTCTTACTACTATTAACTATTTACTAATAACTCATAAAAACGTAAATTTCAAATAATCATATGCAATCACTCTACTAATTCGAAAATACCTGTACATACAAGAAACATATCGATTTTAAAAAAGAAAGAATAACCATAAAAGGATACATAACAAATCCAGAACATGATAGACCATAAAGTCATCTGATCTCGCAATAATGACAGGCTTTTCAAAAATAAATTTTGTGGTATTTTCTAATGATTTTGATAAGCCAAAATCTGCAATCATCAACCTATCGTCGTGCACTAAGATATTCCTATCATGCTGTAATAATATTAATACTTATACAATTAAAATAAAAGAATAATAAAGCGTAAAATTTTTTTACAAGATCACGGTGAACTCATGTAGGCAATTAATCCTACTAGAGATTTCTTTCGCCATTCTAATTTTAGTTGTCCAATCTAATTCCGAAAAACAATTTCTTAAATAGCTACGAAGGTCGCTTTTATTTGCATATTGAAGAACCATATAATATTTTTCGCCTTTTGGGTCTAATTTATATAAACTAATTATAATTAATAACAATTAGTTAGCAAATAAAATTTCATAAGATTAAATTAACATACCTTGAGTTACCCCAAAGAACCGTATTATATTATCATGATGAGCAAATCTAATAATATTTCTAACCTGAAGTATATTATAGAATGTAATAAGCATAAATTAATCATACAAAAATGTAAATAACAATAAGATTGATTTAATGTATTATAAAATAATCAATACTTCTTTAATAAATTCATTCACATTAACACTAGAGGAATCGTGATGAATGGTTTTTAAAGCTACAATTTTTTCAGCATCTTCTGAAAATGCTCTATATATGGAGCCAAATCCTCCTCTACCAGTCTTGAAAAGAATCATACTTGAATAATGTAATATTTTTTTTTTCAACAGCAACTTCAATCCAGTTTGACATTTATTAATTCTAAAACTCTAACTCTAATTGAAAAATATATACATGAGAACCGACTAACGTTAATTTAAAATACAGTAGTTTACATACGTACAGGAAAGTTGTGAAACTAATGTACTGTACGTGCGTTGTGAAAGGGTAAGTCGTGGCTTGAAAATTATTTTTCTAGATAGATGCATATTTGATTTAGCGAATTTAGTAGATTTGGCGCATTTTACGCATTTTGTACATTTGGTACACAGCGAACATAGTTAATAACCTCCAGTACTCATACAAGAATTCATATGTTGAAGTTTGTCTGATTGGCTATTAAATTTAATTTAATTTTACATTATTTATACTATACATTTTAGAGTACTTTTTTAAAAAACAAAAATTAATCATAATGAAATAAAAAAAAATCGGCATAGAAGGTTTCATTAGAGCTGTAGGTCTCCATAGTCAAAAAAAGATCTAATTCTCGTCCGTTTAAAAAATTAACTTAGTAATAAGTTGATTTTATTGGGGCTTGAGAAGTTATTACTAAACTAACTTTTTTAAACGGACGAGAATTAGATCTTATTTTTGGCTATGGAGTCCTACAGCTCTAATGAAACTTTATATAGTTTTTTTTTTTATTTCATTATGATTAGTTTTCGTTTTTTTAAAAAAGTACTCTAAACGTGTAAATAAGGTAAAATTAAATTGAATTTATAAACCAATCAGACAAACTTCTGCCTATGACCCCTCATCCGATGAAATTCCGGTTGATTAATACAATATTCGAAATAAACTATCCAGTACCCAGTCCCGGAGAACTTAAATGGAAGGAGGCCTTACAAATATAGAAGGCTCTCAATGTCGAAAAAGGCTGGTGGAGAGACTAAAAGATTGTCGCCACGTGACGTCCTGAGGCGATTATATCAATAGGGTCATTTCCCTAGCAAAGAAAGCGCAAATATCGATGAACTTGAGTTTGTAAGTAAAATATTTCGCTAAATCCACCCACTAAAAACATGACTACGCATTTAAGTTCTGTGGCACACAATGCCTTTGAATCAAATCAATAATCTTTTTTAACAACAGAATCAAACATATCTTTCACAGTTTGAAATTTTAATTCGATTATCCATTCATTGTATTTTATTTGTACTCTGTACTGACCAGTAACATACTGCATCAATGCTAGGCATATACTTTCTACCCTCATTATAACGGAGTGACCGGGCTGAAAATTTTCATCCGTTATAATAAAAATCCACTATCACATTATAATGAATTAATGTGAAGTGATAGCATATCACGTGATCGAAAAGAGAGGGCGACATAGCGCCTCACCTCCGACCTCATAATGCATGCGCATGTGACTGAGATAACAGCGTGGAAAAGATTCAACAAGTCAGACAAGAACAAGTTTAGAAGACTTGATTTAAGAAGAACATTAGTTGGTAAAACTAAAGTAAATAAAATTAGACATAGAAAGGCATGCATATGTGACTTATCAGCTGAGAATATATTTAAGAAGTTGTATACTAAACAAGTTTTATGAAAAGATATGAAGCAGAATATTAGGTTATATGTTAGATTATATATTAAGATTGTAAAAAAAATGTTTAGAGAAGAAATTTGGTGATAAAAGTGCAGAACAGTAATCAAATGGGAGGAAGAAAATGGAATAACATTAAAATTAAAATGAAGAAGAGTCAAGTCAGTTGAAAATGAAGAGTGCAGTATGAAGAAAGTTAAAAGTAAAGAAATCTTAGTGAATAAGATCAAAGTGATAAAGAATAAAGAAGAGAGATAAAACATAGGCAGTTGTTTATAGAAGATATTAATAAAATAATACAGAATGAAAATAATCTATTCTGGTTCAGTTCTTGACAGAGCTGACAAAGGTTCCCAATCTAGAAATAAATTGGTGTAATATATCATATTTAGGTGCTGTTTCTGTACTTGGATGATATTAGGCTTGCAATTTCAAAAGATAGATTACTAGAAATAGATAATGTTTCAGTTAATAAAATTTTGTATTAAAGTTCTAACAGACTGTCAAAAAAATAATAATAAAAAATATATATATTTATTAGCAAAAAAAACTAAAAAAAAAGATTCAATTATAAATAATAAAAATTAAACTATAATAATAAAAAATAAAAACAAATAAAAGATTACAAAAAATAAAATATATAGTTTAGTTTAATCAAAAATTTTTTATATAAAAAAACTAAGATTATTTATCTATAATCTTTCAATCTAGTTTAAAATAAATTTCAAATCTAGGTTAGACTCAAACTAATGCAATAAACTATTTTTATGCAGTTATTAAGTAACTATAAACACATTTTGGCAATGTAGTTATCTTAAAAATAGAACTAAGAATAGAACCAACTTATTTTAGAAATAGATTAGAGATCCACTTGGCTATGCTTCAACTATAACCAAAAACCAACACATAATATAATTAACTTTAAACTTAATCATTTCAAATTCTTTAAAATCAAAATTCTACTAAATAAACTACATATACACTTTCTATATTATAAAATATATTCACATACTTTCTATAATATAAACTACTTTCATTGCAACTTACCTAACTCCTTAATATATTAGCAGACATGTTCTAATTCAATACTACTTACTAGTATTATTCAAGATACTATCTTCAAACATATTAACCAAAACAACTTGGATCTCTCTAAACTTTAATAAGAAAAACTTATTCAAAAAATTCAAAATCATAAAACCGTTCATCAGATACTATTTAATGAAAACTTATTCTATCATAATATTATTCTTAAAGGACTAATACTCAAATTTCTAATTCAAATAATTCAAAATCTTAACATTTTTTACAAATTAGTATCACAAATGATTTATTAAAATACTACTTGAAATCAATAAGTTATACTATAAATTACTCTAAAAACCATATTGTATAAACTTTTTAAATTGAAAAAAACAACAAGGTCTTAAATCTTCTTTTTCCAAATACTTAATTCAAACTAATCATAATAGACAAATCAAATCAACTACCAAACATATATATATTCATGTATATGTGGACTACCTGATCAAGTATATTCAAACTCCAATACATGCCCACCTCTTGGTCATGCTATTAGAAACATTAATATATAGACTATTCTCTGGATCAAATATAATATTTCATTTAACTATATTTTAACTATCCAAATCTAGATAAGTCTTGACCACTCTAGTAGGTTTAGATTACAGATAAATATGTCTGAGCTTTACTCTTGAATGTAATTTTCCTTTTATTTGTATTTAAATTAGTTATATATAATTAGCAGTTTAATAGCTAGCCCTAATTGCAAGTGTTGGCCTTGACCATAATATTTATATAGAATTATTTTTGTATATAGTAACTCCATGAAGTTACTAACTTTAAAAACTACAAAAAAAAATATAAGCAAGGCCTCACCTTAATACCAAAAAAAAAGTAACTAAAAACTGTTGAATCAAAACTTAAATCAAACTTTATAAAAATCTTATACATAAAATTCTTAAAAGTTATTTTCAAAATTATCAAAATTGAAAAAATTAGGCTATTAATTAAAATTGTATAAAATTTATATAGTAAATAAAGTTTCTTTATAAAATAGTAAAATATCATTAAAATTAAATTGCTAATTATTAAAATATTTTACAGAAACATTATTATTTATAAATTTATCAAAAAAAATCCTAAAAGTAAAGTTAACTAACTTGCTAATTATATAAATATAAATATATAATTTAAAAACAATATGATTTAATTATCAAGAAATCAAGGATTAGTAAGTTTTTAAGTTATAAGCCAAGTTGATAATAATTATAATCAAATAATTTAACGCTCACTAACATCTGCGTTATATACCATGTTATAGATTTATGGTAATGTAAAAATTCACTGACTAAAAAAAATTTATACATATTTGATAAATATTTTTTATAGATTTGACAGCTTCAAGATCATAGGATGTTATTCATACTAACTTAAGTTAACAATTTTCGTGTAATTCGAATACTTCATAGTCAGCTACTTCAAAAGGACCAGTTTCAGTTCTAATAGGCTCTTCATAACAGTTTTTTTTACATGTCCATTTATTAGATATTAATTGATTAGAGACCAAAGCAAGATCGCCATCGCCAAAAGCTGGTCCGTGAGTTCTAGAACAAAAGAAGATTGCTCTTTTTCGTTTATTTTCATCAATTCTACTTAACGAAGAATCTCTATCTCTAAATGAAAAAATAAAGCTATCTTCTGTTTTTGCAAATTTACCAAAGGGGGTTCTTTCCCATTTAAGTGGGTTGTATCCACCAAGAATCTCATTTGTTTCCTTGACATTCATTACAACTACGGTCTTTGATATCTTATTGCATTTATTATGGAAGTCACTAACCCTATGGCCATCTTTAGTTTCCCTAAACACTAATTCAAATTTATATGGAATGTCATTTATTTTATATGTAGTCATTGATCGATCAATCCATGAGGCAATTTGCGCAGCGTGTTCCTGATTGATTATCTTGCTTGATAATATAAATGGTGGCCTAAATGTCAATGGATCGAAATTTCTATCATCAATTCCTCGTACAATATCTAGATCATAAGTCATTTCATAAAACATTTTATTCAAGTCGGTCAAAATTAATTCAATTTTTGGCCGTTTTTTCGGATCTTGATCCCAACAAAGTTTATAGAGTTCAATATATTTATCAGGTGTATTATCTACAGACTTTTCTCTTTCTCCATTTAGTATTTTTAAGCAAATACCATCAACTAAGTGATCATTAAAAGGACGTTTGCCACTAGAAATTTCCCAAAGAATTACTCCAAAACTATAAATGTCAGATCTCTTGTCACGCTTATATTCGTAATTAAAGATGCATTGAGGTTCTATATATGCGATTAGTCCAGAAAACCTTTTATTTAATGATGATTCGTCCATTTTTTTCGCTGATCCAAAGCCTGCGATCATTGGTTTTCCTTGATGAATCAAAATGTTTGTGGAGTCCTACGCATAACAGGTGATATTAAGAAAAAATCAGTGTACAACATAATATTGAAGTGTTCATAACGATTAACTCGCAGGTCATAGTTCGATGTATTTGTATGAATGACACTTGATTCGTCTTCTAGCAAAACTATTAATATTAACCCTTTTTGACCTATTATTATTGACCGCTAAAAAAAATTAGCATATTTTGTTGGTCTTGTGATATGACCGAATATTTGTTTCCTAATGGTACTGACATGAATTACGTAGTTTCCATTTACTATAGGAAAAATGCGCATTTTATAATAACATGCGCATGAATGCACGAAACGTTTCATGCGCATGATATCGCATGATAAAAAAAAGGCAAAAAAAAGAAAAAACGATCGAGAGGAGAGAAATCTTGATGGGATAAAATACGCATGAAACGGAATCATGCGCACACATGAAATCCATCACTACTATAGAGGCTTACCCTCCCCCTTAATACTGTAATACGTATATAAATTTCTTGCGTACTTACTATTAAAGCAAAATTTTTTTACCCACCACCCTCTAAAAATTACATAATAAATATCAGCACCATAAGGGTAAATTGAATTCGTTAATATAAAATTTTATCAAAGTAATAAAAGGTTTAATGTCACAATTACTTGAAATTGAGGACAAATACAGCATTTTGCTAAAGAATGTTTGATGTCTTCGATGAGACACTTGATAACGAAATATAGACGGCCTACCGTAGAGGGCTGCATTCAATGCCCAGGATATAATTCAACAACAGTATGATTTATACTCAGAGTATATTGTGCAAAGAGAAAGGTACAATTTATGAGGGTATTTATAACTGATCTTCACACGGATATTCGTTTTTATTGGACATTGCTAGTATTGCAAGTCTAATCTATACCAGTTATAAGTCGGAATTTTCTCGCAGTGGTATTGGAATATAGGCAGATCTTAGTTCTAGGTTATTATTCTAGAGGTACTAAATGCAGCACCCAATGGTAGTAAAATCTGCCAAATCACCTAAATGTAACCTCCCTAAGTGCACTATTTATGAAAAATTTGAATACAATTGTAATATTTCTCTAAATGCAAGATTGGCCAATTCTTTATATAGGCACCTCAACAATGCATTTAGAGAGGATTGGCCAGTTTTTTAGTCATGATTAATTACGATGTAAAATAATAATGTATCAAAAATTTTTTAGTCTACGAGGGTCAATACTAATGTTTTCCGACCTTTTAGTGAAAGAAATGTTATTTACTCACAAGATTTTGGTGAATGATATCATTTTGGTGTAAAATGTTCAGACCGTGAATTATTCCATTTGCAATTTCTAATTTATCAATCCAATTTAGTCTTGAAAAATTATTTCTTAAATATTCTTGCAAATTTCCATTGTTTGCAAAAAGAAAATCATGCTATAAAATCCTGTTTCAGGGCCTATGTATTAGAATTAATGAGGGATTTATTGTACTAAACAATTAATGGAAGTCTTGCATAAAGGTATTGTATGAATTATTCGTATATTACCATCGGTTATTCCATAAAAATCGATGATATTTGGAAATACACTGACGGTAATCAAAATTCGAATCTATACGATTTATGCAACATTAGGAAAATTAAGTATATGACGACTAGATATTGTACCATCGGTTTTTGATAATAATATATTGAGAGATGATACCTCTTTAGTGAACATTCTAAAATCTTCATCATTGATAATTTGCAGTCTTTTAAGAGCAACCGTTAGATTCACTCTTTTCCATTGGGATTTAAAGATTCTTACAAAATTACCTTTATCTACTTTGTTTGTATTAATGAATTCTTCAGATTTATAATGATTAATATGTCCTTCAATAGATTTTCCAGGCCATTTATCCAATGTTATTAAAGAGATAATTTCATGACCAACTGAATTCCAGAATAAACTTCCATATCCTGATATATCAATAATATACCATTTTAAATAATACTCGAATAGAACCGGGTCTTGCTTATTTTCCAACCAAGGCTCAATATCTTCAAATTTATGATTAATAAGTGTATAATTAATTTGCCGAGACGTGCTTTATAAAATGAATTATTAAAATACTTATCATGATTAAGGAAATGAGGCAGACTAAATTTAGAGCATGTAATACCTGGTGCTTATAATTACTTCAATTGTAGGTTCAAAGTTTGTAGATGGGAATTCAAATATGGTTGCAAAAATTAAATTTTGGGATATTGATTTAGTTATTTTAATTGTATCAGAGACACTCTTCTTACTCATTTCGATTTTTTTATTGCCAGAATCTAATTTAATACGGCTTAATTCATAATTAAAATAGTCAAGATTTAATGGAACACCAATCAAAGCCCAACAAATTTTTAACCCACTATAATTATAAGGTTAGTGCATAAATATGATATTAGAGCATAAATATGAATAAGTGCTTGATAATTTTACACTTTACCTATAAGTTATATCGTTTAAATTTTTATGATCTTCGATAATAGCAAAAAAACCGTAACAATCCATTAGCCGAAACTTAACAGTTAGGTTTGTTTTTTTGTAATCAATTGTAACAACAGATCCGATAATGTGGTATTTATTGCTTCGTAAAGGTGTGTCAAACTCGATTCTATGATATTTAATTTCATTTCCTATTCTTTCTTCCCCAGTCATTAAAATCCGTTCTTCGTTTTTTATTAATTCTCTAATTTGCTCTTGAATATTTGAATCAAGTAGTTCCCATATTGGTATTAATTTGGATCGGTTTACAACATACCAAGTTTCAGGATACGTTGAATTATTTTCATTTAACCATCTTTCAATATTGTCGGATTTAACAACGGAACGATCACCTGAAAATGCGTTTACATTAAATTTTGACTGAAAAATTTTCCATATTTCTATCAATTCGTCCCGTTCTTTTAGTTCCTTGGGCTTTTGAAAAATTTTAAGCAATTCTGTTGGCAGTTCGGGATAGGAATAACATACTGATTCTAGACATTTACCAAGTATATAATTTTTGCAAAAATAATGCCCATATTTATTAAAAATGTTTATTAGTTCCGTGTATGGTTTCTTGCTCTTTAATGCTTTTTTGATAACATTCTTAAATTGATTCGAAACTTTAAATTTATTTTTTTCTGTGTTAATTTGAATTTTCAACTGTTCTTGAATAATGTTGCACGCAATAGCATCGACTTCTTTATCGGATAAGTCTAATAAAGCGAACGGATTAATTTCAAAGACTTGCTTTTCATTAATATCTATTCTGTTAATGTTCATTAATAGCTCTATTTGATTCTTTATATGAAACATTTTCAATGATGTTGACTCAATAAATTTAAATTCAGGCTCGCATAAAAACTCTATGGCCTTTTCCTTGCTGCATTTTAATCCATTCTGAGTTACTAAAAGACCATTCTCCATATGGTATTTCTCTATCCAATTTGGTAAATTTGTGGTTATATTATTTATCAACCAATAATTTATATCTTGCTCTTTATGAAAACTTGTAATTCCAGGAACAAGCCTTTTGTTAATACTAGCAGACCAATCCGCGGGTATTTCATGTGAATTTAGTAATTTTTCATCAAGTTTTGTAAAAGCTGGAATTACTTTTTCATAAGCAATCACGGAGAATTTTTCATATGAAAATAATTGATTCACATAATCGCCCTAAATTTTGATAAACAATACTATTAGTCATAAATTTAAAAAATACGTTTTTGGTGATTTTCAATAAGTTAAAAAATAAAAAATTACACATTTACCAATTGTTTCTCATCAAGAAGAGGATTGTCATCAAGTCATATAACTCGAAAAAATTTACAGAAGTTTTTTCAAATGATTTCTTGTATTTATGTTTGAGACTTGTTTTATCAATAGTCCAAATCATATGTGCTTTTAAAATATCTAATTTGGATTTATCTTTAAAATTTGATGCATTTCTAATAATTAAACCGCCTCCCACTAAAACCGTTTCAGCAAGGAAATGTTGACATAATTCATTTATATCTGATTTCTCCGCATAAGATTTAAAAGAATTGAGTAGATTTCCGACATAAGTAATTTTGAGTACGGGAATTATTAATTTAAGGTACTCTCGAGGTAGATAGTCAGAAGGGTGCTCGATATTTTCGCATTCTAAGGTTTGAAATCTTATAGGAATTATATCCCAAGTAGACGTTTGATTCTCTTTTGTTGGTTCATATATGTGAATTTTAGTATATTCTTCTATTTTAAGTTGACCTTCATGGATCAACGGCTCTGTATGAATAAAACTTCTATCCTTATATTGAAGTCCATAGTCTAACTTTAAATATTTCATGAATTTTTTCTCTGTTTCATTCATGACCGTTCTATCTATAGTCGCGGAATAATTATAAATATTTATGGCGTAGAATCAAGCACTTGGAATCCCCTGCAGTTACAACCTTTTTCAGCCTATTTCAAATTGTCAAGTTACAAAAAATTTGTGAAACAAATTTGTGAAACAAATTTGGTTATTATATCACGTACTTATGTACAGATGTGCCCTTTTTTGAATTAGATTTTTAGTATGTCAGATAATTTTAAGTCTTTAATTAAACAAGCTGTTAAGAGCCTTGTTACTACTAAGAGCACTGATGAGGTAGTCACAATAGAGATAGTTGAACATAATAAACGTTATAATCAACAAATCAATGTAGAGCAGTCCCTTTCAGAGTTTCGAAGTCAGTTATTAGGCTTGTATAAACAAAATCCAATTGGACGTATATGTCTGTATAAAAATATGCTTTTTGTTGGCTTAGGTGGTGGTATTATAAGCCAAGATGATGAAAAGAACTATAAATTGGGTGATATACTTCATGTTGGGGAGAATGGAAAGATTATAAAGTTTAACCGATCTCTTGAATACATTGATGACTTGGAGATTATAAAACTTTGTAAGCTAGAGTATGGAATTAAAATGTCTGAAGATGGGCCCGTTGAACTTCATGAAAATAACAAAGCTTTTGAATTCATTACGCAAGATGAAGTGGTTGACCTGTTTCACCCGACAGCGGATATTTATGACAAAAAAGATTGTATTACACGAAATTATAATTATGAAATCACATGTCAAAAAAATTTAATCGCTAATTTAAATGTTTCTACTAATTTACCCTGGTCGTCATTATCTACTGAATTTAAAATCTCATATAAAAGATCGAGAGGAAGGACTAATTACAATGAAACTTCTATGACATTTGATGTCAATCTACAAGGTCGTGCGAAAGTAATAATGGCTAACAAAGTTCGTCCGTCTAAAAGATTTGAAAAGGCAGTAGATGATGCCTTGAAATGTTCTAACCCTGTTGAACAACTTAAAAATGTCTGTAATGAATACGGGGAATTCTGGGCACGTGAAATAATTTTAGGAGGCAAAATTCAGATAATTCGAGATGGTTTCATTGAAGTTGGCACACAAACAAAGGAAAATGTGACAGATGCCAGTGTTAGTGTTAATATAGAAAATGTTGAATCAATTTTTCGGCATAATAAAACGGAAGGCAGCAAATTTGTCACAAATAGTAAAGAATCTAGAACTAATTCTAAGTATATTGGTGGTGATAGCGATTTGGCTCGCAAAAACGTTGATGAATGGATTGAATCTTTAAAAAATTACACAACATGGAGGGTTGTAGAATACCGAAATGTAGTCTCGATTTTTGAAATTCTAGAAGATAATCTCCGTAAATGTGTTCTTGATACTTTGGGAAAAAATATTCTTTACGCTCAAGTCGATCAATGTGAATTAAAATTTGTTCCAAATCAAAAACCGTGTATACATCCATTAAATATACCAAATAAATATAAAGAAAAACTTAAAGATTATCAAATTTTTGCTACAATAATAAGCGAGAATGAAAAAGGTACCTTTTCTGTTCGGGTCATATATACAACTGACAGCAACTCTACGAAACTCCTTTCTACGAATCTCCTAATTCATCGATTCAGAAAATCTGGGAATAATAAACCGAGGAAATATTCTTTGAAAATAGGATGGATTATCATTGGTATTCCTAATGGCTTTAATTATTTTGGCTTTGAAGGTCTAAAAGAATTTGAAGTAAAATTTAGCAAGGACTTTTCAAGTAACGATCCCTACAGCATTCACGATATTTATGATGAGTACGAAAAATGTAAGACATACCCACTAGTCACTTGCGCATTAAAAATTAGTAAATCTCTTCAGTATGATCCTCTTGATTTGAAAATAGTCACTGGAATACACTTTCATCACAAGAATACACACTTGCAAATGTGTATTAATAATTATGATTTAGCAAATGGAAATTTATCATCAGATAAAGATCTTTTAGTTCAATATTGGTTCGTATACACTACAGTATTATACATTCAAAATTATTTTTGCCTTTATAATTTAAATTCATATAATTCTATTTATACTGTAGTATTACTCAACGTGCCTGTACTCCTGTGCCCGAAGGAAAGCTATGTGATAATAAAGGAATTTTTAGCACAAGGGGAAATAAAACAAGATGGACATGTGATCAGCCAGCCTTTGTAAGTCTTTATCAGCAAACTTGTGGTAACAATTGTATTCCAGGATTATTTAAGATTACACCCGATAATGCAGTTTTCAAATCTTTTAATGGAATTACTTTTAAAAAAGAAAATCCACCTACATTATATTATATATGTATCTTTCAAAAGGGTGACAAAATATGATTTAAACATATTAACTATAATTCATAGCTATTATTTAATAAATTTTAAAAATATAGATTATGCTATTGTTACTATTGTTTGGGAGAGCTACAACGTATTTAATGTCCAATTTAACACCAATAGTGAACTGAAATAAAAAGTATTACGAATAGGAAATATAGTACTATCGATAAGGTGGCTTGTTCACGTGGATCGGTAATTTATCAGGGTCGGTTAACTAATTTATGCGGGATCGGGTTACTGATCAATTTAAGTGATAGTCGCACTTATGTAATAATTTTAATCGAAAAACATTGGCACACTCGTGAGGCGTATGGGGTTACACTGGCTGGGATAAGAGCCAGGAATAATTTTTTATTATATTTGATAATTATGTATGCAAAATAGACAGTATAGAGAATAATAATAGGAATTGAAACATTGATTTCCCGAAGGGTTAGCAATAGTAATTGCGCTGGGATCGCAGTAACAGCCCAGGTAGTGATTAAATGATCACTATTTGCTTAATTATTCAGCTGGTGATTTTCCGCCTGCCGCAGCAAGCCGGCTGTTAGAATGGCAGAATCAGGAGCTCGTTCCAAGTATATTCGTGATGTGATTCTGGCATGTGGGCTTGTTTTTTATTTTATTTTATTTTATTTATTTTTTGTGCTGTTGTTGACGTGTTTTGTTTTGTTAGTGTATATATATATTATTGTTATTATTTTTTGGTAAAAGCGAAAGGCTTGAGTAGGTCTGAATCGTGTCTGTATAGTAGGTTATATATATATATATATATTTGAATTTATTATTTTTATTATTGCTGATATGTTTCGATGAAGCCTTGAATGAAACCTAATTTCTGTTTTCGGTTCTCTCTCCCTTCTTTTACATTTTTTTTTTTTTTTTTTTTTGTACGTGTTATTGCGCATAGATTCATAGGCATTGATTAGCCTGATTTAGCTCCAAGTCGTGTTGGGAGGGCTAATTAATATATGCTTGAGTGAGGAGTGATGCGATTGTGGCGGGTGGCTGCGAATGTATCTGTAGAATGACTCTGAGTTCTACCTGCCGATCTTTTGGATGAGTATTAACTGAACGCCACGCATGACTAGTTCAGTGGTCCCTCCAGCTCGAAGGCTGTGGCCAGCTACGTTCTCATGTGGTAAGAGTTTTTTAAGTTTAGTGATAAACCAGTGTTTTGTGGCCCATGTGCCGTCATGTTTTGCGAAGAGTAAATTGCAGCTCTGGGCGTAGGTTGGTTGCGTTCGCAGGCTTGTGTAGGTTTTGAGAGCGCAAATAGGGCATAAGTTGTCGTTAGTTGGGTTAATAATTAATGTTACCCGATTTGCTGTGTTGTGATTTTTTGTTCTTGCTAGCTGTATTGTTGCGAACGTGTTTGCTCCTGCTTTTTCGAACCTTAGTGCTTTTAATGTTGGAACTTTGTTGATGTCAGATTGGTTGTTAGGGAGTAGTTCGCCAAGGCGGGCAAGGCCATAAAATGCGGTAAGTGCGATGGCCCAAAAAAGGATGTCTGTTGCCTCCTCACTATTTAGCTTGGACCTAATATGTATAAGATGCAGCCGTGTAATGTGTGATTTTTGTTTGACTGGAGTGTGGGTGTGCGTGGTATCGATAGTCTTCGGAATCTGGATTACCAATGGGTCGGAGCGAATGGGTGACCAGTCGTGATAATTTCTTGTGTGGTGGTACTTCAAAGCCGAGAGGTAGGTTGCAATTGTGGGTGGAGAAACACTGGTGTTTAAGAACTTGATATAGCTTATCAACGACTGTTTGGAGACTGGCCAAATCGACTCATCTTGGTTTAACCATTTGTTGCTTGCCGCGAGTGTTTCGTATCTTTTGATAATGGATTCTGTTGGGTTCAGAAGATTGTGACTCTGTCGCTCCACAATTCTATTTCTCGCGTAATGTATGAAAAGTAACCTTTTCGAAAGAGGGTGTTAGATTTGGCTAGTGGGAGATTAAGGCTTTCGGTTACTTTGGGTCAACGAATGCAAGTAGAGTAAGTCACGTGTACAAGGGCTTGAACAACGATGTTATGGGGGTTCACAGTGTTTGTAACGGTAATAGTGTTAGTGTTTATTATGTACAATGTAGTGTATTGGGACTTATTATTTAATAAAGCAAACG